TAAGTAAAGGTAAAGGTAAAGGTTAACGTTTACTTACTTATTATTAGTTAAGTAAAGTAAAAGTAAACTAACTACTATTAGTTGTTGTGTGTGTGTGTGTGTGTGTGTGTGTGTGTGTGTGTGTGTGTGTGTGTGTGTGTGTGTGTGTGTGTGTGTGTGTGTGTGTGCACTAACAATCAAGTGATCCGAAACATTTTGTACATTAAATTGGATGTTTGTATATCAAAAACTATTTTTCAAGTCATGCAACTATTTATAATTCACAAAAGAAACAAAAAATAGTCATTAAAACACTACTTAAAAACAAATTTAAACTATGTTACTAAAATCACATTCATATATTGTAATTAGCTTTCATCTTTTTTTTGAGGGGGGAGAAAACAAAAAGCACTTATTTAGCATCAGCTGTTTAAACATACTGAAATGTCTATACTATATAAAAAGCCCTGTATAAAAAAAATATTGATCATGAACCACAATAGTGGTTCATAATAGAAACTCTATTATGAACCACTATCGTGGTTTATGATAAATATTTTGGTTTGCCCAGGAATTTCACAAAAATTGTAATAGAACATATGAGCAAAAACCATCTTAACAAGCAGACTTATTCTTGAAACAACACTCAAGACCTTCTATCTCAATGACTGAGGCTGCTAAAATTGATAAGTACTGTAGACATGGAGTCAAAATAGGGATTTGTAGCTTAAGAAAATGATGTAGACACTATTTTCAGCCTTGTTTGTTTACTTTTTAGAGTTCCTAGTTATAGGCTTGAAAATATAATCTATTTTGATTCAACTTGTTTCTGTATGTTTTGATTATCCCTATTCCCTTTTTTAAATTAACAATTTTTAATTATCTTGTAACATTATATAAGTTGCTTTGTTTTTATGTATGCTGATAATAACCGAGCAATTAAATATGCATTGTCATTTCTATTAGCTATTCTTGCAACAACAACAGCATCCAATCAATATTTGCTTATTGTGTGTGTGTGTGTGTGTGTGTGTGTGTGTGTGTGTGTGTGTGTGTGTGTGTGTGTGTGTGTGTGTGTGTGTGTGAATTCACAATGACATACTAGAACTGTACATTTCTTGTATCTGATTCTTTAAAGCAAATGAAGTTAATTATATAGAAATAGATAAATGCTTTAGCAAATTTTTCAAAAGCTATACATGTAGTGATGAAATTTGTTGCCCTCTAATAACATGTCAGTAGTGATTGAATAATGCAAAATAACCACTTTTAATTGAGGTTTGATTGAAACTGATGTTTTCTCTTTGTGATGTGATTGTCATTTCACAATGTTCAGTTAATATATGGTTTCAGCACAGTGTGAAGCAGTGTTGTTCTGTGTTTGGAAAGTCTGAATCAAAACAAACACATATAAATGTAAGTCAAATATTGTGATCATGGAACAAATTCTGTTCAAATTGAAACCCAGATTGTGCTTTTCGTGAAGTAGATTTACAATCTACAACCATCACCAATGTAATCAAACAAATAATTTATACTTCTATTTATTAAAGTGAGAAACGATCAATAACATAAACCATAATTTTAAATTCTTTACTGATTTCAAACCAAAGAAAACTAATATTTTGACAGGGATGAATATCATTATATAAGTGAGATAAATAACTAATTAGAGATGCAGTATACAGACAAGTGAGTAAATCAAAGTATACTGATTAATTACATTGAAAGCTATAACTCATTAAATGTATTTTGTATATAATTTATTAAATCTATGCATACAAACTGACATTTATGAGATGTGATTGGATATAATATTTTTCTCTGATATCATTACCTATAAGCAAAATTCTAATGATGTGCTCTTGTGCAAGTATGTAATTAAAGTTCACAAGTGTGCTTATTCATATGTGGTTATTACTTATGTATTCAACAATTAATTGATCCAAAATTATGCCAAATAAAAGTTTTATTGAATACATATACTGTCAGTTCCTTGCTTGGTTCTTGTGTAAGTTGTATAATAATCATAAAGTTAAGTTCAGAAATTTTCTAGTTCATCAGACAACACACTTTAATCCTTTTCTCAACAGTTATGTTTAGTTTCAAGTACAGGGTTAGTTTTTTTGTTTTCCTACATAATTACCATGTGTTCATTTATAGGCTTAGTACAGTGTCACTATATGTTGGTTATTGCTCTAGCATTTAATATTTATTACAATTAGAGCTATTTTTGTTGAATTATAAGTAGAAGTACCAAATTATCACTACTATTAGAGTTAGCTTAGTTTAGTTTTAGTATGTGATGAAACATCAGTTCTGAGACTGTATCAATCTACTGGTAAGATCAGCCCAAGCATTGGAAACCTGGAGCTTAGTTCTGTGCAACATTAGATACTCTGGATATGGAATCAACAGCCAAAACAAATTAGATCTGTAGTTTGTATCAGAATTTGCCACATTCAGTAACTGGAGGATGGAAATAACAAAGATACCTAGTTACCAGTTATAAGTAGTGTTTATCAGCATAAGGTCCTACACCAGGGGGACTGGACTTCTCAGTAGTATTCTAATTTTTGCTAGTGACATTCTGGTGTGCAGCAGAGACTCTAACTAAGCTTAAAATCAAAAGTAAGATGCAACCATCCTTAGCAGAGTGAGCAAATGGTGAAATGACACAGAAATGCTCAACAATCTTGCCACAGCCATGTTCTGCACACTCAACAACAAACATGCTAATGAGGACAAACCATTACCATCCTTTGCAGGCACAGGTATCTCTATGGAAAACCAATGAAGAACCAGGGGGGCAACCTTTGACAGGCAACTCAACTGTACCAGCCACATTAATATTATAATAACCAGAGCTATCAAAAAGAATCAATGTACAAAAAGCTGCAGCAGGAAATAGAGCTGAAGAGCATCACCCTCTTAGGCTATACCAAAGTCTTATTGAATCCTTCCTGGAGTATGTACTACCAACAATCAGTATTAGTGCTACATGGCCAGATAAAACTGAAAGATACAAAATACTTGTTTAAGACTGGCCACTGGATATACATTTACTTTAGACATCTCCATTGAAGCCTTATTACATCTCACAAACTTTGCATAACACCAGCAGCCTTTACAAGAAATATTATTCACCAGGGGCTTTCTGTGTAAACATTTGCATTTCATCTTTAAGCCATTGTCCTTTTGAATTTGGACATTCCAGCTCCACAACACCACCTCAGACACCAACAAAACAGAGAAATGCCCAAAAGGCACATCAGGAGACAGTCTTGGGTAGACAGGTGCTACACAGCTACCACTGAGCTAATTCTTCACCTATGTAGAAGAAACATCTGGTACCACTGAGATCATTGGAAATCAGCCTAGACAGAAGATATAGGAACTGGGTAGTGTGTGAAGCTGAAAATCCATTTCAGCACATATTTAAAGACTATGGTGGACAGTCACCTGTCATCATAGCCACACAAATGGTCCCCACACCAAAGATAGAGATAGAGTCTCATATAAAAACCACATTCTGCATAGGGGTGGTGGAGAATTCTAGCTTCTTACAAGCAGAAGGATGTAACTTGAAGCCCACAACTAAGCTTCTTCTCTAGATTGCTAAAAGTAAAAAACCTCAACTAACAAAGCCATTAACATGATATCTGCAACTGACTCGCAGGTAGTACTGCATGAAATTCAGAGTTGTTGGTGTCCAAACAGATGACAGAAAGCAACTGCATGGCAATACAATAAACTGAATGCATTGTTCAGATATGCAGGGATAAAGCTAAACAAGAAAACTGATAAGGTTGCAGGAGAACACCCATTATAAAATCTAGCACAACTCTACTGGCATGATATTGACCTCCTCTGCACTAGTAAGGTGAAAGTTGCAACCATGGAAAGCCTTTATTATTCAGAGTGAATGAGACTGCTTGAAAACAAAATATCATATGGTGTAGCTAGTAAAAGAAAACATGGGACATCATTTGGATAGTATACAGCCAGAAGGTAAATGGTAACATCAGTAAAGAAGCTCTCTTATTGCCTATGAGGCAGTCAGGTTCCAGATAAATGGTCAGCACCTACTGGTACAGCCCTAGGATTGTCACTTAGTACTCAACTAAACTCCTCAACAGTAATTTTTTCTTGGGTAGGTAAAATGATATTGCACCTAGCCAATAAATTTCACAACAGACCCAGCTAGTTAAAAAACTTTATCAGCATTGTCCATTTTCCAACAATTGACTATTACCTCAAAAACATGAAAGGAAAGCATCTTAAGACATTTACCATCATGTCTCAACTTAACAAACTTTTCATCAGTCAATGTAGAAACCATTCCTTTATTGTGCAAATACAGTAAAAATGTTTTAAAATGACATCACATCAATTTGTTAAAATTAAGCGGTTTTGGGAAATTTCATGTGCCCCATGGTTGTAAGCACTATCAATGATAAAAGGCAATTATTTGTGTAAGAATAAAGATGAACACTGACAATTTAGTTTTGACAGAATAACCACTGACCTGTACATATTTAGTTATGAGATTAACCATCATATTTACTGATGCCCTGACTGCTAAGGAAAGATTTATTTAATGGCAAAACTACAAACTTGAGGAGTGAAAATAAACTATTTGAGTAACTAGTTGAGCAAATACATGTTCTTATAGAAAAGCTAATTCATATTCAGAAATACTTATTAGTCTTTCAAACATCATGATACATACAATTAAATATAGTCACCCAACAAAAGCATGAACATATGCAATGATAGAGAGCTGAACAAGTAATACACTGGCAATACACTACATTGACCCAATGACCAAAGACTAGGGTTTACTCCTACAAACAAAACTAATCTGTTTTTAAACAAATTTAAGCCTCACATAAAGAAACTAATAAACACACTTCTATAATGAATAACATCCAAACTAATAAATTATTAAGTACATCAAAGTATAACATTATCAAATTTACTTACACAAATCTGGCCTAGCCCTCCTGCAGCAGCTGTGATAATTACCTTTTCACCAGCTTTCAGGTCTCCTACCTAGAATATTACAAGCTATTAAAGAAATTATAATCACAGTAGCATCAAGTTATGGCAACAAAAAGTATTTAAAGAACAGTATATTAAAATCCAAAACAATGTTTTATAATACACAATTAAAATCTTTATTTAAACTGATCAACAGTTGTAAAAGTCATTCTACATATTTCAATGTGGTTTTATGTCATCTTCAGGAGTTTCTATGTGCTATATATGTACAAAAGCCATGGTCATGTGACACTAGTTTACAATTCCAAAAAGATGATCATGCCATCTGTATGAAAAATTTGACATGATAAACCTGGGATAAATGGTAAAAACAACATTTCTTTATTATCTATTTCATCAAATGTTTATTTCAGTTTTTCATAAATTAAAAACACAAAACAAAAATCTTATTGTCATTTACAGATCACTGAATAAAATTAGTCAAATATTAAATAAAACTAAAGATGAAATAAATCTAATGGAGAAAACAGGTATATATAAAGTTCAGTGTGAATGTGGTCGTGCATACATTGGTCAAACTAGAAGAAACTTAAGATTTAGAATAAATGAACAGAAGAGAAATGTTAGAAACAAAAGTGAAACTCTGCGTTAGCTGAACATATAAATTATACTGGATATATCATCCAGTGGGAAAAAAAAAAAATGGTCATTTTGGCTCAACCAAATAATATGACTGCTAGAAATATTAAAGAAACCACTGAAATAATGAAACACATCAAAAACAAATTGATCTTATATAAGGATGAAGGGTTAGAAAATCAGAAAATATGTATATGGCATGATCTTTTCTGAATTGTAAACTAGTGTCACATGACCATGACCTTTGTACTTATATAGCACACAGTAACTGTTTTGCAGACTACTGAAGAAGACATGAAACCACATTGAAACATGTAGAATGACTTTTACAACCGTTGATCAGTTTAAATAAAGATTTTAATTGTGTATTATAAAACGTTGTTCATTTGTGGATTTTAACATTTTTAAATATATACACAAGTTCCTTGAATTTGAACCTTTTAATATTAAGTATTAATAAGTACTAATTTAGTATTCCAAAACATCAAATCTCATGTGAATTAAATTTGATTTTTATATTGAAGTATTTATCATATACATGAAATACAATAAACCTATTTCATATCAGTCTGCCAAAGTATCTGTTTATCTAACTGTGACATGTACATACAGATGTGGATAAAGAAATTGACACGTTTCAAACTGGAATATTAAGAGTAAGACAGTACTCTTATTTTATGAAACTCTTTTACCAGAGGTGGTTGGTGCTGATTTTCTTAAGTTTGTTGAATTTTATTTGTTTGTTTTTTACATACATTATTGTGCGAGAGAGTTTCACTGAAATTAAATAACCTTGATGAGTCCTCAATAAAAGTAATTTGTTCTTTTGATATTAATAAAAAAAATGTATTTGTTACACACTGATGTTTTGTAATTATCAAACATTTGATATTCACTTTTTTTCAAAATAAACTATAAACTCCTTTTAAGGTCTGTTTGAATTTATATTCATAATGCACATATTATGATGATTAAAATGAAGAACTGTATATTATTTACCCTGATCCACACTCCACTTAAAACTTACTTTATGTTACTTAATTTTATTTAAATTACAGTCTGATTGGCCTTCTGTAAAATTTTAAGCTGTATTTCACAACCTCCTAATGATATGATCATATAAAAGCTATATGTAATAATACAACAAAAAAGGTCAAAATATGGTTCACTTGTTATTCCTAGTCTAAGGCATTCAGTATTTTTTTTCCTATAATGACTATTTTTCCTTCAAAAAATCAATAATGTGGACTAGTAATGAACCTTCTTATACAACTTTTCATCAACCTTCATCCACATGAAACTATTTACCTTATCGAGGCCAATGGAAGCTGTAAGTCCACTGACTAACAAACCAACATATTCTGGCTTTAATTCTGGAATTGGAATTACTTCCCTGCCTTTAACTGTCTGCAAAGGAAGTACAAAAGTGAAACAATATTTGTCTTATTAATCTTTAAACTTAACATTACATATTCATAAAAATTGGCGAAATACTTATTAACAACCCTAAAAGATCTCTTAGAAATTACACTTGCCTACTGATAGAGTTGAATTATTTTTGTAAAACAGCTAAAGAAACATGTACAATATTAGTTTTACTGACATGCTAGAACACTTGATTTTATAACTGTCATAATTCTTCCAGCATTTCTAATAACTCATCTACAAAAATGTACAACAGAAAAACAACAGTTTGTAGTTTTGTCAATTTCAAAAAGAAGTTATATTCACAATTACCACAGATACTCTCAAATTTTTGAGCATGAAGATAAAAAAAATTGTTAAATTTGTCAAAATGTTCCTAAAATTATTACTTGATATGGTACATTTTGTAAAATATATCTATTCAAGTAATTGAGAATCAACATTCTAGCATATATTATATAGTAGTTATATTTGAAGAAGTCAATTCATCTGAGGTATCTATACTTCATTATACTTTTCAATGCATTATTCGATAATTTGTAAATTTTTAACCTCAAAATACTGTTTGTATATAAACTGTTTCCATGAAATGCAACTAGTTTATCATGTGCAGATGTACGGCCTACCTTTTGAGCTGTAAAAAAAGGGGACAGAAAACAGATGATCTGCTTTTCACTCTCTGCAAGGTTTGTTCTTTTCCTACTTCTTCAGATCAACATTACTTAATAATTTAACTTAACCAGTACACAGGCAAATCTGAATTAATATGGAAAATAAAGAAAGCAAAATTACCTGCATGGGGCACTTTTCATTTATGGTCAAACATAAGTTGTACTCATAATGCCAAATAATATACTGGTTGTCCACAGAGCTTAAGATAAAATAAATACTAAATTTATCAGGTCAAAATGTTAAGATAATAAACAAATGTACTTTAATATGAGATATTTGTATCATATTTGTATCATTTCTATCCATGAGAAAATCAAATTAAATATAATCTAATTTTAAAATTCAACTACTCTGGATTTACCATAAATTCTGAGTATGCTCCCATTCCAATATAAGCCACAGGTTGGCCGAGTTCTAAGCAATCCACATCTGTCCCTAAAGCAACTACTTCCCCAACACTCTAAAAATTAAAGTACATCATAATTATAAATTTTTTGAATAAGTACTGAATATATTTCAAAACAACAATTTTAAACCCAGTTTGTCAAATGCTAAGAAAATTAGAAACCAACAAAATGTAGTAATTTGCAATAATGATTAACCAAAATGATCTGCACACTTCATTAATAACCAATCTCTGACTCAACAACAAAAAATATGACTATTTCAGTAAGTTGTGGAGTATCCCAACAGATCTAGAAGCCTAACAGCAAGGTACATGACCGTATAGGGCAGGGGTCGCCAAACTACGGCCTGCGAAGTCAGTTCATCCGGCCCGCCGCTGCACTGTGCCATAAATGAGCTAAAATATAATTATTTAT